TTTGATCCAACCTGTTAAGTGCAACTTATATCACCCTGAAAGTCCGACAGGAAATTCCACAGGATGCCAGACAGAATAACCCAATAAAAACAAGAGCGGCCAAATCATTAGTGGGGAAACATGCTCGCATAACTCACCCAGATGTATGGGCTAATTGGATTTCACCATCAAATCAACAGTTGTAGTGCCTTTGTGCTTTTATGAGACTGACCACAAGGTAAAGGGGATAATGGGCTGTTTGAAGTGACAAAACTTCAACCATGGCTTTTAGCAGGTTAGAATGGCTGAGCCTGGTTGCCAGCTCAGTGTGCTGCACTCCACATGCTGAGACTGGCTTCATGCTATAAATTGATCGAGGATCTCTTCCACAGTTAGCAATGGTGACTCATCAGCGGCTGATGTAAGTAAGATGGCGGGTGATGAGGTAATTGGTGTGGAGAGGTAATTTCCCTCCTGCTCTCGGAGCTGTGGGGGGGCCTCTGGAGAGACGGAGCTCAGGGGACGGGGTGGTGCAGCTGGGGCGCATGGTAACTTGTGAGAAGTTGCTGTTAATATGAGCCTCCTCTCTCGGGAGGAACGTCCCCTGTGAATGGAGAAATCAGCACCTGGCAATGATCACATCCGCCGCAGTGCTCCCGGGGTGGCATGATGAAATCGACATTATAATAAGCAGGAAGACAAGCAACATGTAGGAAGCCAGAGAGGTGAATAAAATGAATTCATTAAAGCTGATTCTAGACTGTAAATCATTTCAGGTTCATTGACCGTCCAAACACAACTTCCCCAGCTGCTTAAAAAAATGTGAGTTAACTGCACTTTCGTATGAGTTTCGTATGAGTTTCGTATGAGTGAAAGTGCAAAACCAGCTGAGAAAACAAGTTTAATAAACTTAAGATATTAAATTAAATCACCTAGTCACATATGGTTACAGACAAGCTGGCATTCCTTTTACATTTTCTAAGTTTTTGACCATTTTTAGTCAACACAAAAACAGTCAGGCTGCTCCGATTACAATACGATTAAATGTTCATCTGAATGTAGTAACAACCTTTGTCATTGTTAGAACTGTACTGCTTATCATCAGAAGAAACAACCGTAACTTAATTTAGCTCGCTTTAAAGGTACACAGCAAGTTCCTACCATGTCTGTTTTCTCCAACTACAGTAAACAAAAGTCTCTAGGGAAGTTTTAACAATGCATCTTGGGAAATCTGCCTACATGCTAGTTCTGTTTCCGATGACCTAAATTTAATGTGTTGAGTGAACTCTCAGCTGTTCATTCATTCAACTCATCATTTAAAGTCAAAATTGCTGATTGTTTTAATATTCTAAAGTGGACTGAAAATACACACTTTAACTTCAATTAACTAGATATTAGGAAAACTCGAAAGATAAGCTGATGTAAATAATATCCTTTATGATGCTTTATAGTGTTGAAACAGCATCATAATAGGTAGACTTATAAACTCTAAAAATGCATTCTGGATATTTTGCGTATACGCCAGTTGTGTGTCTTATAAATTGAATTTAATGAGTTATGTCAACTGGCTTCATTTAATTAATCATTTTATGTCGAACTAGCTCAAGTTGATTACCTAGAAATGAACAAAACACATATTTACATCAAGTAAACTAGAAAAAATCTGTTGATTCGACTCGATTCCTCTAAGGAGTTGCGCGGTGTAATAAACACGGTTATCAATTAGGATCTTGTAAGAGGGCTTTGAGATTCACCGCGCGATGTGTTTATTTGACAGGAGACACCCCCCCTCTGAGATGCACGGGGGCTTTGAAGTTCACGGAGCAACAAAACATGGCTGACTCACTCCCTCCCACTCATGGTTCATCCACTGCGAAAGGGGAACAAAACACTTTGTCGCCAGATCAAATTAGTTAAAAAGGAGTGGGGTTCGTCCACCTCTCATATCCGTTGCAACACTTAAGTTCTGCTCGCTTCCTTTCTGCCGTCTGCCTCCCTGCTGGGTTTCATCATGCACAATGTGTCACAAGGCAGCAGTGCTGTGGTGATTAAGCCAGAGAACTTTGGGAGTTGATTTGGAGCTGGTACAGTAATTGTGGTAATGTGAATAGGCTCATTTGGTAGAGAGAGAGCAAAAAAAAAAAAAGCAAATCCCCAGGTTGTGACCCACAGTTACTCAAAATAGAGCAGAAGGAGCTACGAGAAGTGTCTTTTTGTTGGCTTACTCGTCCCAGCAGATCATCTGAATCGAGTAAACCGGAGTAAGTTTAAAACAACAACAGCAAAACGATGGCTGGGTCTTTAAAACTGGCTGTAATGGCCTTTCGTTCCATAAAGTGCTGAGGGCACTTCACTGGCATAGCCCACTTGTTCCCTCGTCTCTAATATTCCCCCCCCCCTACTCCACGTCGAAGCGACAAAACAGACACACACTCGCGCACACGCAGAGTTTGTGTTTGATATGAGGGAGGTGACAGACAGTGAAGCCCTGGCCCCGGAGAGCAGAGCGGAGTGGCTCTCCAGCAGGGACGCTGACGTTCACACTTAAATGCTTTAATAGGACTAAAGTAGACAAAGGCCGCCAGTGACGCAGTAGGAGCTATAATGGGCTTGCCACATTGCAGGTTTACTGGACCCTGCCTATTGGACAGAGCTATTTCCAATCCCACAATCCCTCATCAGCCCCAGGAAGCTAGTTATAAATAAAAAGTGTAGGTTAATCGCTGCTAACGTGTCCCAGTGAAATGCTTTTTTTTTTTTTTTCCACTGCTAGTAGGGCAAGTTGACTAAGCCTTTTCAAGAAGATACTAGTTACGGGAAATTATTTATTTGAGGGTTTTCAGGAAAAAAAATCAATGGAGAACATTCTGTAGAACAAAACACAATACATGACTAGATATAAATAACACTAATCCAGACATGAATCATCAGAATTACACAGCAAAAATAGTCTGTATGTTTGCAAAATGTAGTGTTTTTTTTGTTTTATGGCGTAATCGTGGAAATCGGAGCAAAGGAACATTGCAAAATAAGTCGTGACCCTGTCATTTTAGGACGTGGTCAAGATGCAGACAAAATCACATTATCATGCCATTAGAAGTAGAGATTCCTTTGTCATGATAATTGTCATTCATGTGACAGCCGTACTTCCTCTTTTGATCAATTATGCCTGAGCCTATGATGAGGCCGGCCTACAGGGTCAGAGCTCGCCTGCTCTGACAGATACTGTGACAGATGGAGCTCTGGGTCTTTAGCCATCATTACCTTGGACTTGAAGGCTTGTTATCGCTCACACACACACACACACACACACACATCTTATCCAGCATGGAAGCCGAAACTAATTCACAGAGATCAGGAGTTTGTGCAATCTGGGATCTAAATTCGTTTTATAGTTTTTCTCGAATAAAAATCATTTGCCCTACGATTCAGATTAAGAAAACACATGATTTTTTCTTAGTTTTGCTATAATCAAGAGGTAATTCTGAACCAAAAGAAAGTGCACACACAGTCCCCGATGCCTCTGTTTATTAGCAATCAAGTCACACAACATGTCTCGTACATTAGCCTCGGATTTGTTTTGTGTCTGGGGGGCGAGCCTGCAAGCTGTGCATTTCCTCCTCGGCTTCTTGGTTGCGCTGCGATAAAAGGATTGAGGGGTTAAATGTTTGTCCAGCTGAAACAACACAGTAAAACTCCTTCTCTGTGTCTCTGTAGCCCAGTCGTCAGAGCTCAGGACCTAAAAATAGCCGTGCTGGCTCCACGCCCCTGGCTGGGGGACAGGTCAAATTATGAAGGAAGATGAAAAATTTAAAGGCACAGGCTGCTTGGCCACAAACCCAGCCCTGCATCAGTGGTCAGATACAACATTTGACTTGGCTTTCATGGAGTCAGATTATATTAACTACGGGTCTTGTGATATTATTATGGAAAAGTCCTGCTATATGTAGCTACCGGGTTTCCGAAAAATCCAGATCTTAAGTCCTGCGTATGTATATTTAGACCGTAGTGTTTTCTTTAAGCATCAAACAGTATCAAAGGTATTTCAAGGGAACAGGATTTGCAATCCGGGGAAGTGTTCTTGACACAGTTTGAGAGTTTATGTAATTACGATCATGCTGTTATGGCATCTTACAGTTGGCTTCCTTGGCTGGTTGAAAGCATGCTTCCTGAGTCGCAGCACTGCCCTGGATACACACTGAACCCCACACATATACTGTGCTAATGCAGTGAGGTCACACTCTGCATCTTAAATGAACGCTGCGTTCGTTTGGTGTCTCGCTTGTCTTAACACATCCTGTTGGGTTTTTTTTTGTCACACATGCAGATCATGCCCAATTGCTCAAGTGTTTGGTTGTGTTTGTTGAAATCCAGAGCGTTTGCGCCGTTTTTGCCAGAACTGAGACAAGAGAGACGAGCTTTAACGTGTTGATGGGAAGTTTTTGTGCCTCTTTTTTAAGGCAAAACAGGATCATTCCAGCCATGTAGCCTACCTGAGAGAACAAAATGAAGACATAAATAGAGTGAGTGAGGGAGACTGGTTCAACAAATCAGAAAGAGACAGAGAAAGAGAGGGAGAGAGAGAGAGAGAGAGAGAGAGAGGAATCAAGCCTCCATCTGCAGAGAGGGAGTCAGGAGACATGCCTTCTGGCAGGAGCTGAAGAAGACAGCTGTGTTTGGTGTGGTATTTTTAAACGCATCAATGCTGCTCCAATCCCTGCGCCTCGCCTGACCTATTTTTAGCCAGGGCTGGCCATTGTTCTATTTCTGTCACCTGTGGGCCACGCAGTTGTTGATTCACATGCAAATGAAGCTTGCTCCCTCCCCGGCTTGCATTGCTGCCTGTGCGAGGTGCTCAGTACACAGTGCGCGGCTTTCCTAGCAACTCAGCTTGACATTTTTTTTTCCCTCAGACACTTTTGCTGAGGAGAAGAGAAAAGGAAAAACGGCTCAGACCGGAGAGAAATAGGGAGAGAGAGAGAGAAGGCAGATAAGAAGAAAAAAAAAAAAAAAGAAGCTGGACCTGCCATCTTCCACTGTGTTCTAGTGTTTGGACCAGACTGAGGCAGGCAGGCAGGCAGGCAGGGCACCCGGGAGAGTATAGCAGCCCTGCGGAGAGAGAGAGCGAGCGAGCGAGCGAGAGAGAGTGTGTGTGTGTGCAGCTCGTGTTATTGCTCCACAGTGAGAGTAGTTTCTCAGAGGAGGAGGCAAGAGGAAGAGGGAGAGAGTTCGCCTGTTGTCGTGGTCTCTCCCCTGAGTGGCTGAGGGGTGGCTCTTGGTGACAGGAAACGCAAGGCTGGCGATGAGACCTGAGCGCTGAGTGGAGTATGCTGCAGACGATTTACGAGGGCGAGTCAAGTTTCTCCACAACAGAAGGGCGCGTTGGACACCAGCAGTTCCCCAACCAGAGCAAGATGCACAACGTGAACAACTCAGGTGATCTCATAGCTTCCTGGCGTCTCCGCTCCTCTTGAGGGGGAATCTTTTCTTGTTTCCGAGTCTTTCTCTCTCTTTTTTTTTCCCCTCCCTATCTACTTCTCTACTATTTTTCCTCACATCCTCCGTGCCTCTCGTGCACACTCCGTCTCTTCTCTTTCGCTCTCAACTCTTTGCGCTTTAGCCGGTTTCTCATTCTGGCGAAAAAAGAGAAGTCAGAGCTTCTCAGCACAGCAACGTGGTAGGAGCAGGCACTTCTTCCTGAACCAAGGTATTTACTCTTGTGATGCTGCTGCTTTTAAAGAATTGTGCTTCAAATATGTCTCTTTTTTTTAAACCTAGAGGGTGTTTCTGAGTTTAAAAAGTGCTCGATTAACATGAGGAAACGTGTTAACCCTGTTCCCATGCTCCAGTTGCCTAGAATGAGTCACTGTGAACATGACAGGGGATGTTGTGTTTTGCGAGCTTCCATGTCAGCGTGCACTTTTCAGGGAACAGGAGGGAACTGTGACAGAAATACTGAGGGGACATGCGAAAGGTTTCTCTCAGGATATTTACCACAGACATCGACCGTTTCTATTTTTGACCTGACAATTGAATTGAAGAGTACACGGCTGACATCAGTATGACTAACGTCTATTCACTGCATTGAGTCAAGATGAGTCACACCTTATTTGCTTTGATTTCTTTCTTCTTCTTTTTTTTTTTTTTTGTTTTACGTGCATGTAGCTATTGATGAAATGCAAAAGTTGTCTTTAGGCATGAGTTCAGAGTCGAGGCGTTGTGCTCTGTGAGAACACTGTCATGTGGGTTTTGCTGGGAAATGTGTCATGACCAAGTGTGAATTAAGTCATGGGAGTGCTTCATTTACTGCAAAAAAGAAAGAATATATTTGGGTGTTCACTGCTTCTACAAATAGCCGGCATGAGGAACAACACAAAGTGGAAGAATTTCAGCAAACTGTTGCTCGTACATTTAAGGTTTTTTTAACACACTGGCAGCAAGAACAAATGTTGAACTGCCTTACGAAACGGGCAACATCCAGAGGCAGTGGGATAAACGTGAGGGGATTTAAAAATAAGACAGGAGGATGACAGAGGGATGACACATTCCATGTCTGTCAATAGAGCAGGTTATTTGACTATCGGGCTACAAGAGCAGGGCTTTTCTTCGTCTTTTGTCTTAGCGGCTTGCGAGCCAAACAACAGATATACTGAGCGCCTGAATTCGGGCTCCTTGCTTATTCTGTGGGTCAGCTATTCTTAGGTGAGTTATTTTCAGCTTATGGCATTAGCCTGCTAAGATTAGGCGTCTGTGCGTTATCATTCCATCTCGGCATGCTCCTGATATAACAGCGGTTTGGAACAGATATTTATAGAGAATTCTGTCATTTGCGTGTTTAATTTGTTCTTTCCACTTTATAGTAAATCACCTGACAGTGACTAACAGTGTGTCTGTAAGTGCTGCTCCACTGAGCCTTGTTCTGTGAGTTTACAGGGTGACATGTGAGAGCGCTGCTGTTTCATTTTTTTAAAAACTTTTTAATTAATAAGATAATAAATATGGTTGCTGAAGTGATCATCTAAATAGATCATTTGTGAATTGTCTCCCAAAGCAAACTTCTTGACCTTTTTACATGATCCTCTACTCCTCTGCTGTTACATTTTAAGTGGATCAGCACAATAAAAGCTCGCATAATCACGTTTTTTATTTTGATTAGTGCCATCGAAGTTCTGAGAAAAACCATCCTCACATGGGCTCTCACACCAGGAAAAACTAATTAGTTTCCCCCCCAAGTGCGGAATATCGTGCACAAATATCAATAGGGACCTTTCAGACAATAACAATGCTGCACCTTTCAAGTCCACTTGTCTGAATCCTGTATCCATTCAAGTTGCCTCACCGTGTGTATTTGAAGAGCTCACTGCTGAAGAGAAGCTGCACAAAAGATATGGAATTTTGCTTTAGTGCTGCTTAAAAATCAGTCATTGCAAAAAAAAGATGAAGTGGCTTTTTTATTATAGAACTTTGTAACAGCAAAGAGAACTGTGCAACAAACAGCAACGTTTCTTTCTGTTCCTGACTGATCAGTGCTGCTAAGTGATGCTTTCCCTGTGGTTGGAGGGTTTGCTGTGGCTCAGGGAATTAAGGGAATTGACTCTTGCTGATTGATTTATTAGGAATTTTATTGATTGTCTGATCTACTGCCAGTGTTGCTCATAGAGAACGGGGAGTTATCATCTAGCATTCGCTGGGTTTTCCACGTTTTTGCCCATGTTGTTTTGCATGTTGTTGTTGTTGTTGTTGATTTCTCGAGGTGGCCTGACAGGACAGGAGGCGACCGGACTCCTGGCTCCCCTCAGCGAAAGGCCTCGTGGTGGCTCGGCTCGGCTCTCTTTGTTAGTAGATAGCTTGCAAACCGCAGCTCTGGCTCAGCTGCAAGGACGAGCCTGAGTCTTAAAAATAAAGACCTGTTTCCTGCTTTAGACATGCCAGCTGCTCAAAATAACAAGGCACTTAATGAGAGATCCAGCACCACATTGCAGTCCCAAGCATCAGCTTATTTTTGCCCTCAAACATCTTCTGTATCTCTGGTTCTATTTATACAGTCAGACAGGGAATTTAGATCAGCAACCATCTCTGTTTCACACTAAATGCTCGCAACATGCGTGTTTCAAGTCTAACATGCAGTTCTTTGGTTGTGTTTACTGCCACAACTGGCAAATTGGGAATAAAATATAAACTAAATACACTGATTTACGGGAAGTTTGAGATAAGATGGTTAAATCTTTGTAATCATATGGTTCAGTGGACAACAAATGTAAGTTGTGATAATGTTTTAGGGGTTTTACTGAAGAAAAATTGCATACATTTGCTTTCACTTTGTACTTTTTATTTGCTAAAATAGACTTGACACTTTCATGGTTTAAGTGTTGTCTTATGCTAACACAACCATCGCAAACGTTTTGACAGCAACATTAGCATCATATAAAGAAATCATGGCATGTTTTTCTGAGGCAACTTTTCATGCTACATGTTTTATTTGTGTTATTGTTTTAACTGGGAAAAAACACCTAAATGGGCATTTATGTAAATTTTTTTATTAACAAATTCAAATGTTAATTTGTTTTTTAGCACTTTCCGCTCACACTAAACACAATCTGCTCCGTGTTACAGCAGCATTTAAGTATTTTTTTCTTTAAAAAAGAAAAAAAAAAAAAGAAATCTTAATATGCAGTCTTATTCCATGACACCGAAAGGTACCTCGAGGTGCAACTTGTGAAGGTGTAAGAATAGCTGCACTATTTATATTCAGGGGGTAATGTTTACAATATTAATAACTCTCACTTTCGTAGTCGGCGTATATGCTGTCAGGATAAACCAGTAAAATGTCAAGGTGTTCTTTAAAACTCCAGCGTAAGCCTGCACGGGGAATTATTTTGATATTCTTCAGATATAAATGTGTCCCAGACTCTTTACGAGCGATAGTAACGTCACCGTTGATGTGTTCCTCCGTCTGCAACGATGGGAAGCCTGCTAATGTGGCCTGAGGCAAACGAGAGGGAAAAAAAAAAAAGAAAAGCCATCCAACATCTCAAATTAAGGCTGTGATTGTCACTCTAACCACCACCACGGCTAATGAGAGGCAGATCGGTTATAGAAATAAACACTTTGGGGACAGTGGCGGTGCGACGCTGCAGTGGGAGCGTGGTCACAGGCCATGAGTCACCCTATCCCCCCTTGGCAGGCCCTCCACAGGGAGGAATTTGGGCATGGGGCTGGGTGCTTGTTGCTCCCTTGTGCTAAAAACAAATTTGGGAGCTGTCATTCATAAATCTCATGTTTACCAGCGCCCACAGGCACTTGTGTGCACTTTCCACCGATGAAGACTTTCACCCGAAAAGACACTCGTATCAGCGGGTCAGGATCGTCATGGTACGACCGAACCAGATGCTCTTCTTTGCGAGCGATCGTGTCAAAAATGACCCGAAAGTTACATAAATGTGACACTGCGCTTTTATTTTTGCCCGTGTTAAATTGAGCAAGGGGGCCTCACAACTGTGACAGTCTTTCGCACATTGTCTATATTAAGACCCTGCTCAGAAAAGCTTTTATATTTAGCCCTAGTTACTGGTGGTTCCGTATTCTCCTCTGCCTCGGGAGTATTTTTGTGATACAGAAACAGCAGATTTCAGTTATGCTAGTTTCAGGGTGCATTTTACTTAAATATATCAACCCGTAGTCACAGATTTAAAGCGCTCTGTGGTTGAGAGCATTTATAAATCAGCACAGAGAACAGAGTCTATATGTAAGTTGTGAATTATACAAGTCGGAGCTTCAGTGCAGCGAGAACAATGCCTACCTACCTTTAGGACCTTATTATCTCCCCTCAACATTGTCACTCCGTTCAGTGTTATTCTCGCCGACACGGTGGACGGAGAGCAGACAAGAATAGAACAGGCACATGAGGCTGTTGTGGTTTCCTCAAGGGCCATTTCATACAGCCTTGGTTATCAAAGGTGGCTTAAGCTTTCACACTCCTCCTCCTCCTCCTCTTCTTCCTCCTCCTCCTCCTCCTCCTCCCCCCCATCCTGTTAAACCACTGTCTGCGATTTTTCTGATGGAGGCTCAGCTTGACGGGCTGATCAAAGTGGAGATCCTTAATGCCACTCACAGTGAGGGTACAGAATGAAATATGAGATTAATTAGATATCACAGTGGTGAATTCTCCCAGGCAGCAGGTGTTTTTTTTTTTCTTTTTTTTTCTCCTGTTGTTGCTATATTTAGGTCCATTAGGCAAAAGTAAGGCTGTCTGACTCTCTGAGCCCTTCAATGGTTCACAGGTTCACGGCTGCTCCTGGAACGTTGCCCGCTACAAAAGAGTCCTTTGTCAAGTACTTACACGCTAAGATTAATATTCCCTGTCAGGAGAGAAGGGTCTGTTCTACAGGTGCCTGTTCTCTGCGCCTGCTGAGCCGCTGCCCTCCTCTGTCATTTGATTGGAGCTGTTTTTAGAACACAGAGAGGAAAATTACAGCACAGGAGTCCCCTCTAGCTGTCTTCACTTTTTGAACACGCTTTAAGACAACTTATCGCTTTGCCGCTGATCCTCTACAGAGCATGTGTGTGTGTGTTTGTGTGTGTGTGTGTGTGTGTGGGGTTTTGTAACTCTTCCTCTCTGTCTCTCTCTGCTGGGGACTCCTTTCTTATATAAGAGCTGAAAAAGCTGATATAATAGTCAACATGTCACATTGCCACTGTAGGCAGGAGATGACATGCAGTGAGACTCGATATCTGCAGAATGGGGAGACATAATTACGTCGCCAGCGTTGCCATGGCAGCGGCAAGTTAGGGTGGTGGATACTAGGGTGTGGGGGTTGTCACAGACCAGGATTGCGCCACTTGCTTTTATGTTTCTATTTATAATCATCACCGCCGCATACACATGGAATGGTGGCAATGAAAAACAGGCTACATGACAAAACAAACGGGCGCCACCGAGCTTCGCAGCATCAGTGAACACGAGGGCACCGCTTCCTAATTGACGGCTACTGTCGGAGGACGCTGGTTCTTTAAAATTTTACTGGCATTTTCACCCCTCAGTTTACGAGTTTAATTAACAACAGGATGGAGACGAGATTATTTACACGAACGCACGGAGTGAAACTTGTCGGTTTTGCTTCCGGAGAACAGGTGGCGTGGCAACATCGCCTGCATTTGTTCTCTCAGATGTGACCCTTGAGAAGATTAAGGCAATGAATGCACTCAATAAGTCTCCCTCAAGCCACTGGAATTTTAAGTAGGTTTGAATATTTCTCTGGTCTCAAAATGGAAGAGACATTATACAGTCTGGACAATGCATATCCTCCCTTGAATGTCACACCATGATCAGCATAACTAACATGTCTGTTTTCCCAAGGATTTGGCATTTTTGTTTTAATACACCCCAGTCTTTAATATCTGGAACGGATTCATAGATGTGATTCTTTGAAAATAAAGTGCCTCATGAAGGAAGCTGATAAATGCAGTGGTGTGGACTAAAACAAAATTATAGGACAAGTAAAATATTGTACAATCACTAATCATCCTCTATGGAATAGAGATGAAGTAGCCCTGTCTCCTGTGTTCTTAACTGGCAATCGATTTTCTCTGTGGAACAGGCTATATATAGAGCTCGGAGACCAAAGGGATGCCCTCTCACTTTGTATCTGGCAATTACTTATAATAGAGGCAGTTCTTTGCAATGCACACATTGCAGCATCTGCACTCAAGAAAAGGAGATGCAAAGATCATAAAAACATGAATTCACAAACACATGCGTGTTCGTAATCTGCTTTGCCTTAAATTATTTATGTTAAGACGGGATATCTGCATGATGTTCTGATGCAGACGAGGAGAAGGACTCTGTTTATTTATTTAGCAAACAGTGGGAAGACGGGTTTTATGTAAATACTTTAAATGACCGCTCTTAACATTTCGTGCCAAATGTCCATTGAGGTTCCTACTGTATATAGCTGCTCCCAGTGGACTCCACGCTGCCGGATGTGATCCCGTGTTTGTTTATAGAAACTATTATAATTGCAGGTTTCTGAGGATCATGGGAGAGAAAGATGTGCTTTTTGCTTATGAACCTTCCCCCATTCAGTCTGTCTGAAGTGTGTCTTTTTTGTCCTCCTTTGCTCTTGATATATTTTGTTTTGCAAAATTATGCAGATATTATACACAGCCACTTCTGGTTGCATGATTTGAATCTGTAAAGGTGCAATTATGGACTAACAAATCTCTTTTTCTCTTTTATTCCTTCTCCTTTCCAATTTCTGGGCCACAGTGGATATTAAACCGGACGTACCATTGGCTGTGGAGCCTTTATCTCCTTTGGACCTGCGCACAGACCTGAGGATGCTGGGGCCAGGCTCGGACCCAGGACTATGGGAGAGGCAGCTGCAGCAGGAGCTGCTCCTCATTCAGAAGCAGCAGCAAATCCAGAAGCAGCTACTAATCAGCGAGTTCCAGAAGCAGCACGAGAAGTTGACCCGTCAGCATCAGGCTCAGCTCCAGGAGCATCTCAAGGTTAGCATCGCACCCGAGCAGTCTGTATGGAGGACAGCACAGCAGCAGCAGCACAGTGGCACAGCGCAGCACAAAACAACAGAACACAACACAGCATGTGCAGATCAGTAGAAAACTGTATAGCTCAGGACAACATTACAAAGTGCAGAAAAGGAGAAACAACTCAGCACAGCAAGGCGGAGTGTCGAGCAATACATTACAGCTCAGCGTGAGTTATGTTTTTCACAGTCGAGCACAGAATTGTCCATCACAGCAAAAAAACAAAAAAACAAAACAGAAATTAGAGTTTGCGCAGAAGCCGCCATCATTTCAAGACTGTGTTTATCAGTGTTGCTCCCTTCATGCTGACACGAGGCCCGCGTGTTTCCCAGCTTCAGCAGGAGCTCCAGGCCATGAAACAGCAGCAGGAACTTGCGGAGAAGGAGCGTCGTTTGGAGCAGCAGCAGAACCAGCAGGAGAAGGAGCAGGAGAGGCATCGGCGAGAGCAGCATGTTTCCAGCCTGAGCCTCCGGGGCAAGGAGCGCTCCCGAGAGAGTAAGAGCTCGACACCGTCATCGTCGCCCATCAGGGGCTGAATTAAAAAAAAGTAAAATAAAAAATGAGGGCCGAAGGCAAAAGCAAGCATGGGGCCACAAATTTTAACCCTCAACCTTTTCAATCATTTTTTAAAAGCACAGCCTCAGCAGCGGGGCCTGAGTGAAATATGCATATAACAGCTGAATAGGAACCGACTGAGACAATACTCCTCTGTATTCCCTTTGGGCCATACACATGTTCTGCTATGATCATTATTACAAGGATAATAGCCTTCAAGTCATGTGGCAGGCTTGCCTTCGTAGGCCTGCATAATTTAGCCGTATTTTATTGTAATAATCGCTGTATATATGTACTGCTGGACTGAGAGGATTACCTTGGCTGGATGTTAAACTGTTTATTTAGATTTCAATTAGCTGCTGCAACTACTCATCCTGGGGTCCACATTATTCTATTCATTTAATGAAAACCGTGTACACAATATCCAACATCCATCGCTGATATTACTGTAAACTAATCACCGAGATTAAAGCAACAAGCATCAGCTTACATAAACATATTTTATGTTCTCTTAGTCGTGTTTTGGATTTGCTGAGGTTCGGGTGGAGCGAGTACACGAGAGAAAATACTGTTTAGTTCTAGGGTGACATCCTGAAACACGTGCAAGCAAAAAGCAAGAAAGCAAGCAAGGAAATCTGTTTTTGCTTGTTCTGTGAAGCAGCCCTTTAAGACCACCTCGTTTGTATTCACCAGGGCTAGTGGCACTCTCGGTCAGATCACATTTGGCACTAAAGCGGTTAAAAATTCATGTAAAGTATATTGTTCTCACTGCGTAGGACAATGCAATTACTATTCATAAGGAGGACAAACTGTTCTGATTTCACGTCTCTAGCTCGTGGAGGCACGATCTCTCAATATTAGATCCTGGAGACAAATCACGAGTCTGAAAGAATATACGACAAGATAATATCGATGGTAGCTCGGTGCTTAACTACTAAGCAGCACATGAAAGTGATGACATTAAGTTGGCCGCTGACATTTAGGCTTCGAATTTAGAAGAAAATGTCTTTCAAAAGCGCAATGAAAATAGTGCCAGATATAGTGTTTCATTTCTGTTTTTACCTTATAGCTAATAATAGACAAGATTTATGACTTTGTCAAGTCAGGTAATTTGAAACTGTGCCCTGCAACTGTAACCTCTCTGCAGTATCACTGTAACACAAACTAACACCTGTGACCACTAGGGGGAGATCTTCCTACATAAGTTTGGGTGCTTAGGAACAGAGAGAAGAGTCAATCACAAGAGATTATAGAGACAAAAAAAAAAATGGATTTAGGGGCCTCAGGACAGTTTTGAGTTGAAGGAAAACAGTTGCAACTAACATTAGAGTCAAAAATTGTTGTGTTGTTATGTAGGCAATTATACATTGTGAATCATTTCTCTCTAGGGTAACCCCAATCCCTTTGCTTCTGCCTTTTGGTCTCACAGGTGCAGTGGCCAGTACCGAGGTGAAGCAGAAACTCCAAGAGTTTCTGTTGAGCAAATCGGCGAAGGATCCTGCAAGCAACGGAGTGAATCACTCTTTCATCCACCATCCAAAACTCTGGTACACGTAAGTAGAAAGAGTTTGATAATAAAAAAAATCACAATGCTACATTTATACTCACACAGAAACTAAAATTAAATTATGACAATTTGATTTATTCTTGTGTTCTCAGGACTTCCCACCACACATCACTGGACCAAAGCTCCCCACCTCTGGGCGGCACATCCCCCACCTGCCAGTACACTCTGCCGTCACCCATAGAGAGCAAGGACGACTTCCCCTTGAGGAAGACAGGTTTGATCATTTGCACACAGCACGGGCATAAAAATGCAAATGCACACATATACACTCTACATACTAAATCTACACACACACACAGATAGTTTGAAAGAGTTTAATGTGAGTGTTGCCTTGTATTTGTCATTTTACATACAATGAAGTGCCTATTTGACCCTTATCAGTCAAGAGGTGGGTAAACCCAGGGAGTATTTCCTGAGGTTTACTTATGACCTGCTAATAACAGCAGTTAGGCCCGTTTTGACCCCTGCCCTGCTCCTCATTCCTCCAGGGCTCAACACGAAACTTTCCTAAGAGGTGACGCACGGCAGAAATTTAACTTAAACCTTCCTCGTTCTTGTTAGGATTATTCAAAAACACAGCAGTTGAGCAACACACTTTAATGCCATGTTCTCACTCGGCAAGTTCAGCTTTTAATTACTGTTATTTGTACTAAAATTACCTTAAAAAACTGAACCACGTTTGTCCCCACGTTACAATAACAAACCAAGGCTTCTTTGAAACTGTTTAGTGGCAGAATTAAGGGAGATTAATTTCTCCTGAGTTATGGGCTTTGAAAACAATTTTGAAAAGACACAGGTTCCCACCGAAAAGCAGCTCAGGTTTGTTGGTTTAAAGTTGGAGGCAGCCCTTTGGGGACGGCTAAGTAAATAAGAATAATTCCTCCCTCTCTTGGTTTGCACGAGTGCAAGCGCTCGCCAGGCTAGAAACTTCATAATTCGGCAGTGAGGTCACCAAATTATATTATGCTCTTTTCCCCTCTGTGTCTCTTTTAATTACATTGGAAAACAATTATACTTGTTGAGTTATTTAACTGCAGGCCTGTCATGTTGTGTGTGTACACAGCCGCGAGATCAGGCAGAGGAATTATATCTTGTAAAATAAAGTCGAACAAATATTAGAAAGGTAAATGAAAGCTTTGGGGGATTTTATTTATTTATGTACCGTAATCTCACAGAGCCATGCCATCTTCGGTAGAGAGGAATATCTCCTCTAAGTATATATTTACATCTTCAGGACACTGTTTTATCCACAAGGTGAGGAAAATGACAGAGAGGCTGTTTATGGTCGCATCGTTTGCATTGTTTCAGTGTGAATGCAAAAAGGCAGGTTTACACTCCCTCGTTTCTGTGCCCAACTCTCTCGCACTGATAAAACCATTTCTTGCCCTTTTGGATTCCTGAATCTATATGTGGTCATTTCCTGCTTGGGCCTTCCTCCCCCACTTCCCGTCTGTCTTCATTAAAGTCCTCTGAGAGCTTGGCACGCGAGGGGGGACACACAAAGGTAGTGTTGTTCCCCGAACCGCCGGCTGTCACCGATAGCTGATTGGCAGGTGTTGCCGGCTTCGGACTGGCACAGGCAGGATGAGCCTCGACAGGATTGTTTGCTTAAGCAAAGATAGCTCTCTCAAAACAAAGTGGAGATGACTCCAGTGCTCCATGTTCGACTCCCCGCTGCTTCATCTGGCCAGAGGGCTGAGCGGCATCTTTTTCTGGTTGACTCTGAGGTTCACGACGAGGTTTACGATGTACATGTGATATATGTTTGCAATAACTTTCTGGTCAGTAGGTGTCCTCTGAATTTGAAAATCTGAAATTGGCATCTTATTAAAGTCAACTTTTTGCATTTGCCAACCACTTTTCACCATCAAATTAAATGGCTTAACAGGGGTTTTTAAGAAACCTCCAAAATTTTGCTTCAGATCCATTTTAAACCTCTTAAACTCAAGCTGTTTATGGATGTTTTTTTTTTTTTTTTCTTCTTTTCCCCTTTTTCTTATTTTTGGGTTGTTTTTCCTTTTTTTTTTTTTGTCTTGCCAAGTTTTCGTTGCCTTGGACCTTGAAAAAAGTTTATTTTTTTTTTTTTTTTTTTTTTAAAAATATTAAATTAAACCCTGGAATAAACATGTGCAAGATTCAGGTGGAAAGAATGGTAGCTCTACATACTCTTGATATTTTACTACTTCCATACTTGTCCTCTATTTACTTTATATAAACTCAACCTGCAGTTCAGCCCAGTTTGGCCCAAAACTTTTAGATTTTTTGTCATCTGGCTGTTGGTATCAGCTAATTCAATAATGGCTTCACGGTTGTGCAGTGGAGTACAGAATTTTTTGTTTTTTGCGGGATCTCTTTAAAGCATTTTTTTGGCAAATTATTCAATGAGATGTGTAGAATAAAGTGATTATGCTGAACTGTCACGATTTTAAGTTTACATTTGGTTGGTTCTCAGACAGAATGTCACGTCACAGCACAATTCTTCAGTTTCACAGTTGAAAACCTGATGATTCTTTTTGTTTTTACAGCTCTGGCTCTAATAAATGATGTAATTTTGGGCATTTTTGTAAAGATAAACTGCCTTTTAAATCCACTGGCAGATTTCAGGGTTTAGAGACAAGCTCCTATTTAATATATAGACATATAGTAGACCTGGCAGTCTACAAAAAATACTAATTCACGATAAGCAGGGACAACTGTTTCCACCCTGAATCAGTAAGTCCCTGTTAAGGAGACAATCTGTGCTTTGATCTCTACTATTAGGCGACCTATTAATTGCTCCATCGTCTCAAAAAGCACAGAATCGCTGCGAAGCCCTCGTCTTTATATCGCTCACCCAAAAAAGTGGTTTAAAGAATTTTGCATGATTAACTTGTTTACTCGCTAGATATCCTCTTTGTTTCAGTTCCTGGGACTGGAATAGACTCGACCGAGGGCACGCGATAGTCTGTGGCAGGAATAGTTTCAGCTTAGCAGTAAGAAGTGCAACACCCTCTCTGGTCTTGACCCAGTTACCAAATGTGTGCATTCAGCAGGTGCAGGAAAGATTTTCAAAAATAATCCTGCAAAGGTAAAACTGTAAAGCCTGAGGCATATCAAAGGGAAGTTTGTGTGGAGACTCCCTTTGTTGAGAAACACAATCAGATCTTGTGTATTCAACGCATTGATGAAGGGAATTTAAGTTGATATCTGAAGAGTCAGGGGGATGTGGCTTTAGTTTAAAAGTTTGCGAGAATAATGGGCAAGTAAATGTTCCTGTTCAGCATTATTTTAAGCAAGAATGTCAGCAAAATGCATAGCAGGCCGCCTTGTAAACAGAACACACACCTCAGCTTTCCACACGGCCATCTGTGCAGGTCCAGGCTCTAATGGACACGGTGACAGCACAGTTAAAATTCTGATTAAGTGGAGATAACGTAACGCACAAGGAGATTGATTTATGACCGCGGTATATTGCAGGCATCAGTGTACGAAGTGACCCAGGTGTTCAGACTATACGCTTTGCCTCCTGTTGCACCGTGCATCAGGGCATTTTTTTTTTTTCTTTCTTTTTTTTTTTTTTTCCATGGAGACCAACGAGAAAGTGTTTGTTCCCGTGCTGCTGTCTGGCGTTCCCGTGGCGACCAATTGGGATGCGTAGCTTGGTGGCAGCAGCGTGTAAAAATAGAAAGCAATCAAGGCAGCAGGGCGTGAAGCAGATTCATACGACTCCCAACAGCGTTTTCTCTCCATTTATCTCTCCTGCCTCCTTTCTTCCTCCCTCGCTCTCTTTCATTCTACCTCACACCCACAGGATTAGAGGTCTGTGCCACGTATTAGGGAAGAGGGTTTTGCTACTTTTGACAAAAGCCAGAAATAGCAGCATCTGGCCCACTCTCCGAGCTGTGCCCCCATCTCCGCTCCCTCTCCTCCTCCCTGCAGTGTTCCCACGTCACCGCCGCACTTCCCTTATGTATAGCTTGTATGTTGTACACATCGCAAAAAAAAAAGGGGGGGCCTATTTAATTATTGATCAGAGCTAAATAATTGAAACAGGTTGGCTATTGTGTAACAGAGGGTTTACATAACTTCAATACAGCTTTGTGCTCTGGCTTTCGGTCAAAAGACCAGCTTATCTATTCTGCTTGTTTATTTGAGTGTGCAAACCTCACCGTGGGATTCCATGTGTAACGGCTCTGATGGGAAGTCTATATGAGACATGACCGGGTGAGTCACTGTCACTGCGACTAGACAGGAGCACGGTTCAACAGTCAGACACTAAAGCATTAGCTTGCATTCATTAAAATGCTGGATACATAGTTCAACATGAATTCGCTGCTTTCATTCAACCTCTAGACTTGCGTTATGTAATTTTTTTTTGATTGTTGCGTATAGTACAGTATGTACCGCACATAACAAAATCAGTGTTTTCAAGTAAAAGCTGGCAATAAAACTCTTTATTATTCTTTAGAATTATTTAAATGTCCCTTTTCATTGCAAAGAAACGTATTTAAAATCTACAGTATAGGTGTTGATTTGCACCCCAGAATACATTTTATCTCCAAATTAAATTAAAAACGTGAAAAAAATGTCTCACTATGTTGCCTTATTTGTTTAAGATTTAATTAAAATTTTGTTGCTTCTTTTAATATTTGCACATAAAAGATGATGATAGCAATGTTAGAGCATTAGTCTTGGAAAGTAGATTAACCTCAGTTAAACAGAAGTTTAAAAATGATGAAATAACACAAAGCGAGACAAAATTTGTTTTAAATCTGGCGGAAAAGTTTGACAGCAGTAAGTCTGTTGTAAAGGATACTGCGTCAGCGTTTTTAGTCGACACTGAGGGACTAGATTTGTAAGTCTGGATCATTTCAGGCCAGGCCGTGTGTGACTGAGTGTGTTCGTACTGTGTATTTGGGTATCTCTGGTTTGCATTAGGAGGAGGTGGGGTGCGGGGAGAGCCTGAAACATCTGCCATGTTTTTGTGTTAGTTTAACTGTTGCTACTGTATCAGACTGTGGTCACCAGGGCGGCAGGTAGCGGACTATTTCACTTAGAGCCTGCGTGTTGCTCAACCTAATTTAGTCCAGATGAGGTGGAAATGGGCCCAATCCTGACTCATTTAATTTATCTGAAACCTGCTCCGAATTTCTCCGAAACTGAATTTGTAACATGTCCGAAGCGTGGCAACGTCGCTGATTTATAGTCTCTTCATTCTGCTTTTATTTTATGACATTGCTATTTCCTTCGATTGACTGTAGGGCTGCATAAAAGCCTGCCGTTTGACTCCGAAAGTAGTCACAGGCCACTCACATGATTGCATTACTTATCTCCATATGATGGGACGTCTTTATCATTCAACCAGCGTGAACTAAGACTTACGGAAAATGTCTCTTTTGTGTCTTCTAGCCTCCGAGCCCAACCTAAAGGTACGATCCAGACTGAAGCAGAAGGTGGCAGAGAGGAGAAGCAGCCCGATGCTAAAGAGAAGAGATGGAAACATCGTAACTCCCTACAAGAAGAGGGCATTGGAGCTAATGGGTATGCAACACAACTAACCACATGTTAGAGTTTCCTCTTTTCCTGTTACAACATGCATGAAAATGTACTCATATTGTACGATTACATAGCTGCATACTAATGAGCCATTTTGCAATGCAGTAGCACATAATGACCATTGCACTTCCACGTAAAAAAGAAAACCATTGTAATCATGGAGCCATGACCATACACATTAAACTGTTGCGAGGCTGCAGCTGTTATGCCTCTTTTGTGTGTGTTGTGCGTGTAGAGTGTGAGCATGCATACTGTGTCTAAACTCCTTGATGTTTCGTAGACTCGACGCCCACAAACAGTGCCCCTGGCTCTGGCCCCAGCTCTCCCATAGGGGCCTCCAGTGCCTTGGGGGCTGAAAACGGACCCTCCTCTCTGCCTACTACCACAAAAACTGAGGTAAGTTTAGAAATCGCGAGCGCTGCGGCTGATTTGCCAAAAAAGCGAAGCAACCAGGCTCAGCTCGGCGTGCAAATCATTTGAATATCAAAACATTCGTTTTAATGTCAGGGCACTAAAAGCCCGTCTGCCCTTCTGCTTGCAGCTATAAAAACAGCCAGTTGTCCTCCGTCTGTTACACTCCGGTGAAAATGACTTCCCACACTGACATTAAATAGACACAGCTTGACCCACATGTCTGATTACCCCAAGTTTGCTTTTATTAGAGGACACCACGCAGGAAAATAAATTCAGTCGGTGTTAAAATGCAAAATGTAACAGCGGATTTTTTTTCTTCTTCCACATGTGCTGCTCAATCGCATGTTTTTTATTTTTTTTTCGAAAGCAAGAAGAAAAAAAAAAGATCTGTAGTTTGGCCGTGTGTTGCTGTTGGCTTGTCATTGTGTCTCTGTCATTGGCCTGGCTGCGAGCCTGCGCTGAGTTGTTCTGAGGCGTTTCCCAATAGATTCATGGCTGAGTTGCTGACCAGAGCTCCCCTTAGACTGAGCTCACAAAGCAGACCATTATAGAGTGTGGCAGATATGACACATCTCCGAACAATCTCAAACAGAACAGCTGTGTTTTCCTTAACCATCACTGTTTACTCTCCCAGGGACCTCCAGTGACACGGGGAAGGGAGAGACGCCCTGACATCGGGGCTGAAGGTTGGGGCTCGGGGAGGCAGGCAAACTGTGGATTTTAATTGATATCCCAGGCGCTGGTAGCCAAAGACACCCACATGCTAACAACATAAACACACAGGATTGCTATTGTATCGGGCCCAAGCTGAGGCTCTCATGAAAGTCGCCGGTGGACTGTGGGGCTGCTTGTGGACCTCATGCCTGTTGCAAAAGCAAGGCGTGTTTGTGCACCGTTACATTAGGTATCCTTTTTCAGAGGGAACGGGTCCCTCGGGTCAAATACGGGCCGGATATCCACATACAGGTCACTGAGTACTGGTAGGGGTTGGAAGGATAAACATGGCTGTTCCAAAACCACATGCTGGTCGGCTGCTCTGCTGGGTACAGGAAGTATGCCCCAGCGCTGATGTTCTCTGAGAGAGTAGCCTGAGGGTGGGGACCGGGGAGCAGAAACAGGCAGCAGGCCGACCGGGGACTGAAGAACTGAGGATGGAGCGGTAGATTTAGAGGTTTGCGGTGCTTAGAATAGCGTATCGTCCTCACTGGTGCCGTTCGAGGAAAGTTGCTGCTGCCTGTTTGTCTTTTATATCATCCATCATGAAAGCTTTGTGCTCACAGCGAGGTGGGCTGTTGTTCGTCATAGCGCGTTAACGTTTATGCCACTGCTCATGCCTTTTGAAAGTGTCCATAGTGGTATTCCTAAATCTGCCACCTCCTCTTAAATCTGTCCCTGTGTGTTTGATGTAGAGATGGCCTTCCCAGCCGAGATTATTCCGACCAGAGGGCTCCGTGTCCATGCTGAGCTTATACACCTCTCCCTCCTTACCCAACATCTCCTTGGGACTTTCAACTGCATCCTCACCCATTAGTGTGAGTACAAACTTTTCCTTCTTACATTAAATCAGTGTAGTCGTGCAGCGAGTGTAAGCTTTTCAACTCAGCTCTTTAAGTTGCCAAACCTGCCATCAGTGGCTGTCTGGGTTCTCAGGTCACTGACCTGCGGCCCCAAATGATTTTATCGACCTTAGATAAATATTGTTCTGCAGTGTCTTGTGTCAGGCATGCTCTTATCCTCCCCTATTACCTCATTCATCACAGCTTTTAAAAAGTCCAAGTCCACTCAAGTGCAACTCCTGATAACATAGCTCATGATATATCATCTTTTAGCTCTCTGGCACATTCCACAGAGGCCTGTTCATAAGCTTCTAACCATTGATAGTCTCCGATTTCAGCTTTATCCCAAATTTGTAACTACAAGAACCAATTTTCATTCATAAAGAACAGCTGACAGTATTGAATTTGGCTTGTTAAATAAATTATTATGCTGCCAGTCCAAGTGCGCAGCATGTGCAGTTAGTTTACTGCCTTTTCCCTCTTCTCTCAGGCTGCTATGGGGTTGAAAGACAGATCAACAGAAATAAAGCATGGGCTGCCCGGGCACCTGCTGGGCCCCGTGCCCCTTCAGACGGGCCTGGAGTCCAAAGTGAGCTCCAGTCACCAGGCTCTGCTCCAACACCTCCTCCAGAAGGAGCAGATGAGGCAGCAGAAGATGCTCTCCTCCGGTGAGACTGTTACTTCATCCCAGCCGTGCCATATGTTACAGTACAGACACTTTACAATTGGGTTTTTGGGAAGACTTAATGAGAGTTTTTCTTCTTTTTTTTCTGTGAAGGCCAAGGCTCCATGTCGTCCCACCCTCAGTCCCCTCTGGCCATGAAGGATCGCCCCTCCAGCAGTCGCCCCAAACTACCCAAACACCGGCCCTTAAACAGAACCCAGTCGGCGCCGCTGCCCCAGAACACGCTCGCCCAGCTTGTCATCCAGCAGCAACACCAGCACTTCCTGGAGAAACAGAAACAGTACCAGCAGCAGGTCCACATAAATAAGGTATTGTGCTGGTCATCAGTATTCATTCACAGGGGGAGGATTTTGACTTTCAAATTGCTTTTCACAGCATTCTGTATTCCTTTTTAGGTCTCGCGAGGTCTTATTTTCCTGCAGGGAGTCTGATTTAATCATTTTAAGAACACAAATGCTGATCTATTTTTAGCCTTTTTGCAAAAGCATCCTTGGCAGCTCAAGTTTACAGACCTCGGCCGTAGTCTGCTCTTCCCTGGTGTTATTTCTGCAAAGCAAAGAAGTTCTGCCTGACTTCAAATAGGGAAAGAAATCCTTCCCCTGCACTAATTCTGTTATCATAGCTTAAGGCATCAGTGCTGTTCACATGCTAACTCTGTGAAATTCAATTCATCTAAGTTCAAATGAAGAAAAAGTGCCCAGAATGCATTTTGTTCCTCTGTGGCAATATTTGTGTTTCTGTAAGCTGGCCGAGGTGACCTCGCTATACACAGACTGTAATTATTCTGGTGAGGGACGTGTGTGAGGTGGCAGACACAGTCAAAGGCAGCATTGTGTGAGCTCACATACTGATGTGTCCCAACGCTGGGCCCTAAAAGAGCCATGGGAACCATAGAGCAACTCATACCTAGAAGTAATAAAAAGCACAAAGAACTGCGAGCGCCTTTTGAGCCGTACAGTGCAGAACTTTTAACGGTTTCTGTTTGAATTCCGCCGTAACATTAAAACTAACCGACGCACGTCTCCGCCAGGCTGCTGAAATGAGTTTTAATATCAGCTGTAATTATTTAAAAGTACTCTGAAGCTGATTCGATTTGAAAAGAGCTTTGGAATAATAGCGGCATCTTGTCTGGGAACACGTGAACAGGCCCTGCTCTGATCACTCAGGCCAATGAGATCGCGAGTAAAGCCTCTTTAAGTGGAGGTTATAAATGGCCACTAATCAGGGATGAGCCCTCAGTGTTTTTGAGAGGGATCTCCGAAACATTGCCCTAATTAATTTCCTAGCAGTGGCTTGTCTACGGTTGTTTTTAAACGTCCTTCAGTGCCAGCAACAGTAGGGGGCACTAATGGAAATTTACAAGAGCTTAGGGATTTTAGGAAGAGGTATGAACAGTGTTTACTAATGCCAAGCTAAGGAGGCTAATTCTTATAGCTGAAGGGATATTTATATAAGGCCTAGATTCTGTAGACAGTAATGTTGTTGGTTTACCAGCTGTCAATGGGGAAGACACTTCCCTGCCTGTTCTTGGAGCCCTCTTGTGGTCAAATAATCATATCAGGACACCATTAGTTTGATGGGGAAACTAAAATATCCCCCTGAACGAGATGCCGTGCCAGTATTTACAATTATTTTCCAATATCACTCCACTAAAATCTATTTTCTGCATTTTTTCCCCCATTAAAGCAAAACGTTCTGCTATTTCGGACACTTCCAGGTGCAACATCCTAATCAAAATGAAGAATCTGTACTGTAATTGATTGAAATATTTTGATGGAACAAACATAGATGTAGTGAGATCTGTGCCTAAACCTTGTAGGTTTAGAGTGTAGCATGATGCATAGTGTCAGTACAGAGGACACTGACTCAGTTTGAAGGAGCAGAATCACTTATGAAGTTGTCTTTTGCAAACCTGTGTAATAAGGTTCTCCCTGCGTCAGAACTTTGGCTCCAGTGTTTGTGTAATATAAACTTGCTTTTTCTTAGGCCTTGCACATTCTGATCTCTATTTTATAATGCAAGTGAGTAAGAGTAATCCACTTACCTGGCCCAGTCAGGCAGGAACAATGGCTAATCTGCTTCTACTCTTAAACCTTATAAAATGCAGTTTCCTAATGCCACCAGCCAGAAACAGCTCAATTTGTGACATTACTGAGGTCACAGTAGTTTGGGTAGATGTAGCTGTATGCTGTTGGAATAAATGTTATGTATCATTTTGAAAAACTAAAAGTCAACCTGTTTTGTTCCAACGAAAGAAAAACACTTAATTTTGCAGAACACGGTGTCAGAGTGGATTCGGCAACTCAAAACACCCAACTTGTTTGTTTTATCTGTTCTATCTGCATTTTTTTTTTTGTTATTTTGGATTTATTAATTAGCCTGACAATTACTAAATGTCAAACATCAGCTAAGTTCATATGAATATGACTCATTTAAAGGGTATTTATGTAGTAACAGAGAATGAATAGTTTAATTTTGTTGATTCGATTTGCAAACGAGTATTGAATTTGTTTTCTGTGGCTTGAAAATAGCAGAAAAGATCCCAAAAAGTATTGCTACACGGCTATGAAACAGTGGATGTATCCCTCTGCTACTCCAACTTGTGATATAAACCTCCAATTGTCATTCTTTTTGCTTTGCTCTAATTAAAATTTGATCACTACGGCTCATTGGCTGCAGGATATCACCATTAATATGGAGACAATGTGTTTTGCAGCTGTTGTCCAAGTCCATCGAGCAGTTACGTCAGCCCAGCGCGCACCTGCAGGAGTCGGAGGAAGAGCAGGAGGAGCAGCAGCAGCAGCACAGGGAGGAGGTGGAGAGCATGCAGGAGGACAGGCTGCCCCCTGGAGGCGTCATCCGGAAGCACACGCTCAGCAGTAGCAGCAGCGGCTCAAGCAGCGAGCTGCCAGAGCTGCCGGCTCACTGCGGGGTCATCAAGGTCAAGGAGGAGCCGGTCGACAGCGAGGACGAGGCTCTCACCAGCCAGAGCTTAGAGTCGGAGCAGAGCACCTATCTCCACCAGGTCAAAGGAAGGCTGGTGATAAGAGCCATGATCTGAGAAGGGAAGAGGATGAGATCACACACTTGCAACATTCGCTAATAAACAACATCTACATCCCTGCAGTTTACATATATAGAACACACATACACCACACACACACACACACACACACTGCACAGTAGGCCAGCTCTCCCCGTCACGACATTCTTCTCACTCAGCTGCAGCCTCACTCGTCCCCCCACACTCTTAAGACTCTCTGTTTGTGATCTTTGTGTAGTGATCTCTGTAAAATATGTACGTTTCACTCGTGTAAATATGAAGACAATTTAGACCGTTCTTTTTAAGGAGCTGCTTTGGCCATCTCGAGTCTACTCGCAAAAAAACAAAACCCAACAACAAGTTGTGTGTACATATACTGTGGATTTAGCATCAGCGATGAGAAGGGAAGCTCGAGCATGTGTACAGCTTTCGAAGAGCCACCTTATGTTCCCGTTGTGTACATTTATTTGACTATCCACTTCATCTTTGAGAATTATCAGTAAGTCCTCACGTTGTGTTAAGGAATTTAAAACACTACATGCTCCATTGTTCTTGAAAATCTGTGATGATGTTCCATGTTAAATGAGCATCTGTCTTAGAGAGAATGTATTCTTAAATCCTAAGAGGAGGACGCTCCCTCACGGCAGACCTTTTTTTTTTATTCTTTTTTTTTTGCGCTGGGAGTGATATTGCCATTGGAATATGGTCCGCTGCTCATATTGCAAATTTGAAGGATAAAGCACTAAATCCCTGCTTGGGTGTTGCAGGCATCCTCCAACACATCCCAAAGTCTCCGTGTCTCTTTCTCGGAGTCGGTCCCAGAGCCAGGGCCCTCTGCGTTGAGCCGAGGCTCTCCTCCCTCTCTCCCTCTGGGTCCAAATCAAAAAGCTCGGGCCGAGTTCCTGCCCAGCTTTCAGCAGAGGAGTCAGACAGAGAGAAAAGAGAGAAAGAGAGAGAGGGCCGGGCAGGAAATGCCTTCTAGAAGCCAGGAGTTGGAGTGATTCATGTGTGCAGGAATGTTGAGAGAGGAGGACCTAGGGTTGGAGGAGTCCAAGGGGCCAGGCTTGAGAATTGATTTACTGTCAAAGCGAATTACAAAGTGAGTGGGGATATGGTTAAGGGAGTCCTTTTTTAAAGGGAATCGCTTCCTTTGTATTCCCCAGTGGCATGCTTACCTCAACATACAGGTTTGATGTTACTTCAATAAAAACCCTGGACGGGACCTCGCTTCTTCTTCTTCTTCTTTTTTTTTTTTTTGTAAACCCATTTTCCCCTAAAAGTGCCCATTGCGACATGTATAGTCTGTCTTAAAGTGATCAATCAAATGTATTGCATAGCCGTAAACCTTCCTGTTTCATTTGTACCGTCGACTAAATGTAAAAAAAAA